CAATCAGCCTGACGATCCAGAACGCATCATGGCGTCAGCTCCTTTAGCATCGGCGTGTGGCGGAATCGTCTCTTGACTGACACATGGGACTCCAGGAAGCAAACACACAACTCTTCCGAAATGACATTAAATTCAGGTTAAAGAGACGAAAGGATGTGACGTCACGTGTCGCCGTGGCGCCAAAAGCCGATAAGCTTTGTAAATATCAGAGACACGGCGGCTTCGTGCCTGTGCCGGGGGATGAGGAAAGTGTTCAGAAATATTTGGAACGAACTCACCACGGCTTTGTCTCGCTTTCGGCCGGTGGGGGCGGTGCTTTTGTTTCCTTAAACGTCTCGTTTCGTACGCACAGAATTGTTAAGACGCGGATGCAGACGGAGCCAAAGCCGTCGCTAAGCAGAGCGAAGATTCTGCTTCTGTTGAATCTAAGTCTCTTGGTTGCGACGTTGAGAATGCATGGAGCTGTACGTCTCCCGTCCCCCTACGCTTCTGTCGAATCAAGTGGCCCCAAGTCACTAAGTAGGTCGCATCGGCTCCAGTGTGGGCCGTCGGCTTATCGCAGGAGGACCCCGGTTTTATTGTCAGATAAACATTATTTCGTGGTATCAATCAGCCTGACGATCCAGAACGCATCATGGCGTCAGCTCCTTTAGCATCGGCGTGTGGCGGAATCGTCTCTTGACTGACACATGGGACTCCAGGAAGCAAACACACAACTCTTCCGAAATGACATTAAATTCAGGTTAAAGAGACGAAAGGATGTGACGTCACGTGTCGCCGTGGCGCCAAAAGCCGATAAGCTTTGTAAATATCAGAGACACGGCGGCTTCGTGCCTGTGCCGGGGGATGAGGAAAGTGTTCAGAAATATTTGGAACGAACTCACCACGGCTTTGTCTCGCTTTCGGCCGGTGGGGGCGGTGCTTTTGTTTCCTTAAACGTCTCGTTTCGTACGCACAGAATTGTTAAGACGCGGATGCAGACGGAGCCAAAGCAGTCGCTAAGCAGCGCGAAGATTCTGCTTCTCTGTTACATTCAGCGAAACAATTGTCTTGATTAGAACCGCGTATCTTTTCAAGCGCTTCAGGAGTTGGCACTCGGTCAAGCCAAGAAATTCTCTTCCTTTTATGGAACCAGATCAATCCAATCCACACTCTTCCACCATATTTCCTTCATGTTCACTTTAATATTATCCTGCCATCTTCGCCCAGGTCTTCTGAGTGGCCTCTTCCCTTCAGGTTCTTCAACCAAAATTGCGTATGCATTTCTCATCTTCGCATCTCATGCTTCTTTATGAGGCCACTCTCATCGTCGATTCCTGCCCTCAATCTGCGTTCTTCCTTTGAAGTTGCTGTTAGGTGGGAGGTACAAAGGCAAAAGAGATTGTGTGCCCTAAATGTACTTTTGAATGCAGTTTTGGTGTGTCAGCTGACCTTGTTCGCGGCTTAGTGGTACTTAATAGCCTTTCCTGATTTTCTGTTTGGTATTTATGTTTTCGCCCAGTAGAATTAGCATCATTAGCAATCTGAGAGGATGTCCATGTTCCAGACAATTCAAACAAATAGAAGATGCATCAGACAAATATTTACTTACATCGCCGTGCGTACTCTGCTGCAGGCTTCATTTACACACATTATGATTAGCTTCACCACTTGAATCGACGTACTGAATTCTACGAGAAGGGTATAAATAGTTGATGGAATCGACTGTCCCACTGCGTCCCCCGTCTGATAATTTGCATGTGGGTCTCGTGATGCGGTGTATCGATTGTCGCTTGGATCGATTGCCCTTCGGAATTTGATCAGTGCCGTGAGATATCTCGTCAAATTGTCAGTAGAGGCGCTGCTGTCAATCTTCCCTCAGGAAATTGGTTTAAAGTTGTCTGCGCTGCCTCAACCGTGAGTGTAGCAACTGGCAAAGCCTCGAGGCATTCTCCTCCAGTCTTGGATGTCACGCCCAAGGTCTGACTCGTGCCTCAGGGCGGCTCAAAGGTCGGTTTCCCCGTGGCCTTTGTCAGCGCAAGGTCAATTGGCCCTCGGGGGAAGATGAACCAAGGAGCACAATCTACTTGTTCGCTTAAGAAAATGGAAATGCATGTTCGTGTGGGATACCTGATTGTCTCATTAATGGTTATTATAAACAAATACTGTGTTTCCATTGGTCATCTGCACTTACGAGTCGATAAGGTCATTTCGTCCAAGTTGTCCTTTAGAAGTTCTGTGGTTCGTCGGATGTAGTGAGTAACGAACAGTAAACACGAAAGCCACTTTAAAACGAAAATATTTGAAGACTTTATTAAGTGTCTGAGTGCTTTTAATCAGTTTAGAGCCGCTGTCCTCTGCACTTACTGAATCACTGGGACGTAAGATAAAACATCTTCACGCAGTAAAGGCCTCCTTGAGAAGCTCGTAGTCGCTCAGCACCTCAAGAAATGTTCCGCCTTTTATGAAACCCGGAGGTTCATTACCGTGTCCACAAGAGTCCGTCACGGGACGACTTCAAGAATTGGTTGAATCCACTGGACTGAACTTCTGAAGAAGGAATGTTTACGCAGGTTGGTCGACCTAGTCCTCCAGGTAGGCTGCAACTCTGCTGGACGGACTGACCCTTCATAATAACGGCTTGCTCCCCGGTGGCAACTGCAAAATACGAGATGGTTGTCTTGCTAGATTTATATGACGGCAGCGTAACTTTACATCGATTGGCAGATTAGGATCGCGTGGAGCTGTGCCTCCGCTGTCCCACGCGGCACGTCTTAATCGCGTGTTGCTTAATAGTTCAGAGTTTCCGTTTAGGAAAAAAAGAGTTCTCAAGAATGTCGGGTCTCCCGGTGGAAAAGGTCGCTGTCGCCGTCAGTGACCGGACTCTCCTTCCTCTTCTTTCGAGAAATGTCTTTTCCTTCGGAATACCTCACACGTTTCTATTATTAGAAGAGAGTTTCCGCTGAAGGGCAGCGACGTCTCTGTTTCGTCACAAAGTACATTCGCATGGCGAGTGTTTGATCTTTGCGCCACTCAGCTCAGCTCTCCTTAGGTAAACAGACTCTCTCCTGAACAGTGGGGAGCTTTGCGTGATATCGATATCCCGTTTAGTTGTCACGATATCCGTCTCCTTGCCTGTCGCATCGTGTCCCGATCATATTGTCCTTCTACTTTCACAATCGCCCGCGCGAATGGATAAAGGAAGATGACTGTGTTATATAAACCTAATTTGCAATTAAAAATTAAATCCCCTGCAAACGCTGGCTACATCCAAAACTGTGCAGATTCCCCGAGGCCATCAATGGGTGTTGGCTTCTTGCAGATTAGTACGTTCGAGATATATCGTGTATTATCAGTGTTAAGTTTGTAGATACAACATAATCGCAAATGTAAGGAAATAATGTTATTTATGAAACGGCTAATTACAGAACAGACGACTTATCTGCAGGCGCCACTCGGTGTACCGATAAGCGCTCAGGGCAGTGTCGTGGCGCCCGTTCTGTCGGACGTTGACAATTGTTCCTTTCGGGGGGGGGGAGTCCTCCACCACGCGCTTAGCGTTTAAACAGAACCTGTAGCAGCGAAGGAATCAAGTAACACGCACAAAATATGTCTGGGAAACCTCAGCAGAAGACAGGATGATACAATCAGACATGAGGTCAGTTTTCATCAAATTTCCGCCACGCAAATGCCGGGATAGAAAGCCTTTCTACCGGTCCAAATGCTCTCTCTCTCTCTCTCTCTCTTTGTAGTGGTCGGGGCGAACGCTGCTCGGCCTGTATACCCCTAGACTACCTGGGTACTTCATTTCTGGGTACGAACCTCCTACAGGGTCTGAGCGATGAGAACGTACAGCGACTCAAAGACGCGCGTCTCTCCTTTCTCAATTACGAGCACAGTGACAAAGTGAACGCCTACCGCCTGCCTGAGCCCTCACGCCATTGTGCGCTGCTGCTGTATAAATCACCTGCGATAACAATGCGACGTACCCAACCCTCATTTACGGGACGGACTTTCCACTGCGCCGATACAAAGTGGCAAGAAACTGACGCTGTGACGCGCGAAGCAGTGAACTCGGGACAGAAACATCGCGGCTCCAGACTGAACAACCCCACGCAGGAGCTAATAGTTGCTCAGAAATTATTTGAAAATGTAAGAGTCGTAAATGTCGGGGAGCCCTGTCTCTGCGTCCAAATAGGGAATGCCTGAAATATTCACGAGCTGTCCGCCCGGTCTCACACAACACGCATGTCCGTGCCGCGGCGTTGTTACTAAGTGATGAGGCCAGTGGATCGATTTCTGCGACCTGGGTCTCCCGCGGTCATCTATTTCCAAAATTACTATTTCATTCTCCAGTCTGCTTACCTGCTGTGTTGCAAAAGTTACATTCCGGCAATGCAATTTCGCAACCTGTATTCTGCATAAAGTTTACGTGGGCATGTTTGTTCGCTCGTACCTCGAGAACGGGTACGCCGATTTGCACCAAACTTGGCATGCTTATTCCTTGACACAGGGAAGAGAACATAAGAGGTTCAAAAAACTGTCCTGACTTCGATTCCCGGTGAAGATGGGTTTTGTTGCTCGGATATTACGGGATCTAAGGTCACAAACCCGAAAACTCTCCTGGGTTCGGGTCTTGGTGAAGATTTATGATTTCGGAATAATCCTGTATGATATTTAACGATACATGACGTATGCATGTATAAAACTCACGATTGTCGCCATTTTGTATGTAACTTCCTGTAACTGTTCGAATTTAAGTCATTGGATTCACGTCCAGACTTTGGAGATGTGGTCTTCTTTGTGGCTACCGTCTGTGTTTGACGTCCCTTACGCAGAGGGTCGCCTGGTTTGTCTCTGTCCGATGCCAAGCGAAGAACACGGTTTCTTTTCTGGAATGTGCCGAAACCTGGCCGCCAGT